TAAGTGTAATAATGCTTTCAATCAAATTAAAAAACTGTTAATTATATATATATTGTACATAATTTACATATTCAAATTTAGACTCATCAACAATTTATTGCAGCCAGTAGGTACCTATACTGTATTGTCATTTGTCATATTATCGACAGCTTATTAAAGATAACAATAAAGATATAATAAAATATAAGTGCTTATATATACTACTATAATCGAGTATAATCCTCTTGTTCACTTCTCTTAACGTCATCGTTTAATCATCGTACAGTAGGTAACTACGTACCATAAGGGGCTTAAGTTATATTTTATTATATAATCGTGTGTCTTATTATCAAGCGCAATTCAATCAAATTCACTTTTCACCAAAGTTCAAACTTTAAACTTCTAATTTTAAAAATATGTTATGAACGCGTTAAACACTTGAGTACCTACTTAAACAGTATTTTCAAATTGCTCTATGCTCACATTCACATAAATAATAATTGATAAATGATAATCATCATTATATTAACATCTACCAATGGGGTTTATTCATAGGCGCAATTTCAACTTTTGACTTGGGGGGGCTGAATATATTAAAGGCAAGCAGACCATTGCAATATAGCATTTTAAAATTGTATGTCCTAGGTTTTTTAGGGGGGCTACGGCTAAGTTTGGGGGGCTTAGCCCCCTCCCCCCAATTTGCGCCTATGGGTTTATTCCATATATTCCGAGAATAAACGTTCCGACAAAATATTTTCCAACAAAATATAGCCCCCCTATTATTTGATCATTTAAATTGGATTCGAATAATTATAAATTATAATTTATAATAGTTCAATAACAATCAATAAATCGTAACTGACATATTGATATGTTACATTCAACATTGGATTATAAAATCTGAATAATATAACATATATAATAATATAGCTATTACTGAAATATTGCTAAACAAAATGTGGTTAAACCCAGGCGCTATAGTCAGTGTTGGGGAAGTTACTTATTTTTGGTAATTAAATTACATTACTAATTACTTATCAAAATTGTAACTAAATTATTTTAAGTTACTTTTTTTTAATACGGTTAAGTTACATTACTTTTGAGTTTAAAAAGTAACTGAATTACAATAGAAGTTACTTTTTTCAAAAATATCACTGGAGCTTAATAATCATGTTGTCAATATAACAATACATAAACTCAATAGGTAATACCAATCAAAAATGTGAAATTATTAGCAGATACTCATTTTGCTACACTCATAGATATTAAAGAATGGATAGGCCATGGCTATATTAATAAAATAGAGGGAAGTGTCTCCGGAATGGGGAAGAGAGAAAGACTGTTTTTTATCATTGCTTCTCATTTTAGCAGAGGGTCTTATCATAAATTATGTACAATAATTATATATATATACATTTGTGTTAAGACCTCTATAACCTCAAAATATTTTCATGTTCATTCCCGTATGTTAAGCATAAATGGCCTATCCATTCTTTAATATCTATGGCTACACTATTATTATTATTATTATTATTATTTTTATTGAACTTAAGCCCGGAAACTATGGCCATAAGCTGTTGTAGGGGATTATAAACTGTGGTTGGTAAATTTGGTATGGTAAGGTGTTGTTACGGTATGTATGTAAACACGTGTAAGTGTGGCAAGGTTTTTACTACTACGAATCCGGGTGGTCACCCATCCGGGAACTAGTAGCAGCGGGCGCAACTTACTCTCAGTCGTATTGCGAGACTGGTAGCTAGCAGCCAAGCCACACATTTATTTATTAATTATTTTTTTTTATATTAACTAACCCGCAGCAATTGGGTGGTTTTTAACTGAGATGGAGGGTACGGTAGGTTTTGTAAACACGTGTGTTTTAGCTTAAAGAATTTCAAATTGGGCACCTGTAGTCTGCCCGTTACCGAGATTCCAACCAGCTACGGTGCGCGTTGCCACCAACGCCTTAGTCCGCTCGGCCACTCCGTCACCCTCACTTTTATTATTATTACTATTTATTGATAGTTCCAACAATGCTGTATACGCAGACGCTGACGCCGTGAGCCGTCCGCGACGATACAACACAGAGTACAGAGTAAAGATAAGAATTTCATTCAAAAAGTAACACTTTATAGTCGAACTGTCAATAGCTATAACAAAAATAGTACCTACAGTTCATACAATTTTACCTATAAATTAAAATACTAATAAGTTATATTATGATATATTTTAATATTTACCTACACACAATATTATCAATAGGTACGTTCTAAAAAATGTATTAATCCAAAAAAAAGTAACGAGTAATTTAGTAAAAATTACTACAAAAAAGTAACTTAAATTACATATAAATTACTTACAATAAAATGTAAAAACCATAATACTAAAAGTAATTTCCAGTATAACTAGTAATTACTCCCAACATATAGTAAACCTTTTGTAAATAGTTCTTTTGAACTATGATAGGTTTTAAGATTGAATGCTCGATTAAATACGCTGTTTATTATCTTATCTGATTAATCTTTAAATCACAGCTGCGTCGTGTGTCAATCGCGATCAAATCGTACTGTATTGAATTACTTTTCATTACATGTAAACCATACGGTATACAATTAGCTCTATCTAACCAACGTTACGTTGAACCATATATAACCAAGCCATCGCACGACCACAACAGTAGTTAGAGCGTTCGTTTTTGAAAAATGGCGGTAATGTCTCGTAACCGCTCTACAACCAAGGACGTTGGAAACGCACACATATCATATGGTATATTGGTATGTATTCCTTTCGTCGAGACGACGTGTTACAACTCGCTCGGACGAACGTTGTAACGACAAAATAATATGTAAACATCAGCACAGCGATTGATAGTGCGATTGATAATGCAATTGAAATATACATACAAAAATACACGGTACCGGTACCCTAAATATACGGTATTGTAGTGTCAATCGAGTATCCATAATCGCGATTTGTGCGGTGCGTCGGGCCGTCAGGGTCTTCAGTCTTCACTCTTCGATCAGTCTCCTCCCCGTGTCGGCGGCCGCACGTAATCCGTCGCCATAGTCCAACACTCGCAGTAATTCACAAACGATCAACCGTACGAAACAGGTAAGAGATTTGGATTTATTGTGTGTTTTGTTTTGGTACACAGACAGAGTACGCGCGCGCGCTCTCCGCTCTTCCGCGATTCAAATGCCGCAGCAGCGGTGATACGCGTGTAAAGGGGGAAAACGGTGGGAATCGAAAATCAATACCGCTCGAAAACTGCGAAAACAGAAACACCCTGACCTACTTGTCCCGGGGACGTCGCTCTTGTTTACTACAATACCCGCGATTGTTTTTGTATTAATTGTAATCATAATCTTTATTGTGACCCTTTGTTTTTGGTTTTTATTCTTACCACTAGTGCGTCATAATATGTCAGTTCTATAATATATTATACTATTGTTATTTTAGTTGTTGTAAACAGTCGCATGGTGTTGCATGCACAAGAGTGAATCCATAGACAAAACGATAGATTTTTGATGTCACTAGAGAGGGTAAAATACTAAAATGATCGGTGTTGTCTATCGGAGTCGCTTGTTCGTCACAAGGCAGGTGTTTGTCAGGGTTTTTTACAACTGTATTAAGGTAGTCTGACGGTTTGAATTTCCATTTTACTCCTAATGTGCATCGATTTGAAATGTAACTGTTTTCATGGTTTTATGAATATGTACTAATTTTAGAATAAACCTCGACTAACTTGACATTGACCAATTTAGTATAGGTACTATTATGCATGCCCAATATCTAAAATTAAAATTCGGTTTTGTTTTTAATGTAGTACCTATTATTAATTGAAACTAAATTTATGCCAAAAGATTTTATTCGCTAGTACTTTTTTTCAATTCCATAAATTAGGAAATCATTATACCTATTATCAGTTAATAATCGGTTATAATTATAATTTAGTGGGTAGGTTACAAATTCATAAACAAACATAAATATATTCTGTTTATTAAATGAGTTTTTATTTTATTAGGTATAGCCATTTATCCACTTGTTAATTTTTATGTTTTAATAATACACTAATTAACTTATATACTAACATAAAATCATTAATTGGGCTCAGCCCGTATTGTTAATAATAAATAAATAAATAATTATTTCTTTTATTTTAAAACTTATAAAATTAACACTTTTTTATTGAGATGTAAATAACTCATTTTTTTTTCATAAATGTAAGAAGGTACCTTCAAAATTATAATTATTTACCTGTGCCTAGGTAGAAAAATGTAAATTTTTAATAATAAGATTCTAGTCTATAAACTATAAAGGTATAATAAATTAGCACATTACAATATTCTATTCTTTATTCTATTATTCTTATACCAACTTACCTATCTACATAATATGAATATTGTTACAATGTTACAATACATTTGTTACACAATCTTATATTAAACATGTTTTTTTGTATAAGGTGTGCCTACCTCTGACTATTTCTGACCCTATTTTTGCCTTGTTCTCGTTCTGTCCTTATAGAACAATTTTAATTAACAAAATCCTTGGGTTTTTCTTTTAAACTACCTAGTTCTATATTATAATATTATATTGTAATATTATTAAATTTACTATGTAACTAACTATCATATCAAGGCTATATAGCTGTAGTATAGCCGCAGACTGTAAAATAGCATGAATATTATTTCATATAATATTTTATAATCTATGGTGTAGTGTTAAGAATGTCATACTATGTACTAATTTAAATTACAGTCTATTCTTGGTAACTCTTGATAGCATAAAATTTTCTAAAGAAAAAAAACAACCTTCCAATTATTATAATATTTATGCTATTGTCAACGTGTTGTTTTCAATAATTCTAATTTATTTCATTTCTTTGGAGCTTTAATTTACCAAAAGTTGACTGACCCAAAATGTGGGTGACCCTTTTTTACCCCTATTAATAATTTTAATGTATTACCTAACACCATAATTTTGTAGCTAGTCTAACCAAAGGAGTCGACTTATCTAACAGCATGGCTACCAAATCTAGTCTAAGATCAAAGTGGGACGAGTTTGTGGACTCTTCTACAGCTACTGCTGTTGAACTTTCTGGTACAAACCAAATGTCAACTGGGGTTCGAAATGTTGTCGGTTGGCTTAAACAGGTATATTTTATTTACAAGGATATTTACTTTAACAAAATGTTGAGTATAACTGAACAATTTAATTTATGCTTATAATAAATATTTATACTAGTTATAATTTACTAAAAATATGCTACCTATCTGATGATATTTAAACTTTTATTCACAGCATGTACATGAATTACATTTTTAATATATAATTATATAAGTTAAGCAAGCAATCACATAGTTTTGTTTATTCTTCTGTATGGCTACAATACATTTTTGTCTATAACCAATACACCTGCAGTTCCATAAGCTTCTATAAATTACTAATTTTAATAATTTGTTAGTTTAAATTAGGTATAATATGTAGTTACTTAATCACTAAATCATTGTTTTTTTTTTTTTAACAACAGTATGAGAAAAATGTATTTAAATTTCACGAATTTCATTTATCTTTTAGGTTAATTATAATAATTAATAAGTAATTTGTCTTGTTTATTTTTATAAAATAAATAATGCCAAGTTATATATTATTTAATTGTAATTTTTGAAATTTTAGTTCTATAAAAATATTTAGAAAAATTATTTTAGAATTTGAATAATACATTTTTAAAACTTAATACGAACATGGGAGTAAATAGGGTCCTCAAATGCATAGTGCTTGATACCAAAAGTTTCAAGAACAAAAAGAGTGGGGGACTTGTCTTCCACCCACTACATACATACAATTTTATCTATGATACAATTAAATGTAAATTTATTTATTTAATTATTGTATAAATGTATACAGTTTTATACAGTCATAAAATATATATAGATATACATATATATTTTATTATATAAATATTATATATAATTAATTATATTATAATTGCATCCTTATTTCATTCTCAGAAAACTTGATTATAATATGTTTATTATCTATTTTTTTAGATAACTCTTTTTCTAAGTTTATACTTTATTATCAGTAGCACCGAACTAAAAATTTTTGTTGAGCAAAATCTAAAATTGTTATCCCACCACAACTTTCCAGCCATCTAAATTTAAGAAGTGAAGCAATCGCTTCACATAATGTATGAGTTTGGCGCCATTGTTTATTATAATAAAGATTATGTATATATATTAAAATATCTGAAGGAGGGCTTAAGATAGCTCAAGAAGGGTTAAGCCCTCATAAGCTCCTTCCCTATTTACATCTATGAATACAAGGTTGCATAAGTATTTCTTATAATTATACAACATATTTTACTAAAAGCTGAAAAAATTATAGACACTAGAAAATCAAGCTCTATTTAAAATAATATTTTAGTATAATGATAAAATGATCATTGTTTTGAATGTATAATATCAATACAAGATTACTATGTCAATATTGGTATTTGTTGTTTTTCAGTACCCTGTATATATATTTAATCATTATTTGTAGATACTCTACTCCAATTTAATTTATCTTTTATCTAAAACGTTCTGCTTTACAAAATTATATTCCGTGTATAATAAGGCAGATAAGAAGTATTATTATGATTCATTGTCTTATTTTATTAAAATAGCTAGTTATCACATTTCAGGGTACATTATCTTTTTAATCAGAGCAGTTGCTGTATAATTTTTATGAAAATGTAATTAAATTATTTTGTATTTTTATCATATTTAGGCATCATTAGAAGTACAGCACGCTAGTTTACGAACTCTAAGTACGATGACTGATCATATATCTGGTGCAACTCCACCTCTAATAATTCTTCACTTCAATGATGTCTACAATGTTGAACCAAGAGATCAAGAACCATGCGGAGGTGCTTCCAGGTTTTCAACAATGATCAAATCATTTGCTCATCAACAACCTATGATATTATTCAGCGGAGATGTGTTTTCTCCCAGCATATGTTAGAATAAACATTTTAATTTAAATTTAAAACTTGTTTAAACAAATTATAAATATTTTCAGTAAGCACATTTACTAAAGGTGAACAAATGTCAAAGGTGTTAAATGAACTTGGTACACAATGTGCTGTTTTTGGTAATCACGAATTTGGTAAGTTTTTAAAAATTAATCTAATTCATAATGGCTAATCTATCTTTTGTTTTTTAGACTTTGGCCTTGAAGTATTATCTGAACGTGTTTCTGAAACTAAATTTCCATGGCTGATGTCCAATGTTGTTGATAACGAGACTGGTAGACCTTTAGGAGATGGTAAAATCACACATCTTTTAGATTGGCATAATAAGCGGATAGGACTAGTAGGCTTAGTCGAACGTGAGTGGTTAGACACTTTAGCTACTATCGACCCAGAAGAAGTAACATTCATAGACTTTGTGCAAGCTGGCCGGTCTTTAGGAAAACAACTTAAAGAAGATGGCTGTGATTATGTTATTGCTCTTACACATATGCGCATGCCAAATGATATTAAATTAGCCGAAAATGTAGATGAAATTGATTTAATTCTTGGTGGTCATGATCACAATTATGATATACGAGAAATCAATGGCAGACATATCATCAAAAGTGGAACTGACTTTAGAGAATTTTCTAAAATCACTATCAACCTTGATGAGCCTAATAATTCAATTGAGGTGAAAAGAATAGAAATCACTAAAGATATTGAAGAAGACGTTGCCATGAAAGAAATTTTGGATTCTTACTTAGGTTTGTAACCAACAATTAGTTATCATTGTTCATAATGCATGTAATAATCTAGCCACTAATGAAAATCTAAAAATCTGCTGCATACTTATTCTGTTCGTTACTCTTTTTGAAAAAATTAAATACATTCACACATTAAAATTCTATGACACATTTTCATAATCTTACACACAAAAATAGGAACAGTAGTGATCTTATAGACAAGTCTTTAAGGTATATGTATAATAAATAATTGCACGTCAACACACATATTATGTTAGTATGTACTATGTATTATATTAAGATTAATACTTATTGGATGTACCTATTCCAATTGTTATCAAAGACAGTCTTAATGAGCATAAGTCATTCATAGGATTACGTAGTTAATCACAGCTCGGTTGTTAGTACATTAGCTTATTTGTTAGCTTACAAATATAAAGGCAGCAAGTATTTTTAGATTGTTTAATGAAAGAATTAACAAATCTGAATTTATCAGCTCCCTAGTTTAGTTGCTGAACCTAAAATTAATTATATCAGCATTTTGGCAATTCTACTCACCTAGTGATTTTATTGTTTAAATTCTACTATGAATGTTCTAATTACTTTAATTATTTGATTTATGTCTATTATGATATTTATTTTATAATGCATTAATCATTTTTTAATTGTAACCAACAAAATAAATGTCTTAAAAAATACTTTTAATTCTATTATTCTCTTTGGTAACGTAAACTTAATGAGTAATGGCAATAGCTCTTTTTAGCTGTCTATTTTTTAAAAATACTAGTTCTTTTTAATGTAATTAAAAATTATTGAATAAAATTGAATGTATATTTTTATTTAGTGTTTAGTTATCTAACTAAAATTCACACAAGATGGAATATTTTTTTAAGTATTTTATATTTTTAATATTTATACGGTTTGCCTGAATTTTTTTTTCTTTTCTTAAAAAACAAAAATAATTTAAAGTAACAAAATTTAGTATAATGTACTATAAAAATACTACTTAAAGTAAATAAAAAGGTTTATTCAATTTTCCAGGAACAATAGAAGGAAAAATGAGTGAAATATTAGGTACATTTACTGTTGAATTGGATGGCCGTTTTAGTCAAATTAGAACTGGAGAAACAAACCTTGGAAATTGGGTGTGTGATGTTTTATTAGCAGCTACAGGAGCAGACTTGGTAATTTTGAATTCAGGAACTTTTAGATCAGATCGTATTCATCCTCCTGGAGATTTCACTTTGGGTGATCTAGTTAATGTTGTACCAATGCAAGATCCTACTATTGTCATATTGGTAACAGGTAAATAACATTTTTCACATATTGTGTATAATACTTTCATTATAATGGAATGTATATAATTGATTCTTCTTTTATTATTATGTATTTGATATATAAATAAATTATTATATTAACATATTGTGTTTAGGACAACAAATTTTGGAAGCATTGGAAAATAGTGTTTGTAAATATCCTAAAACGGAAGGACGATTCCCTCAAGTGTCTGGAATTAGTTTTGGTTTCTATCCAGAAGCAGAACCTGGCGAAAGAATTGAACCTGATTTAGTTAGAATAGGAGACGAGTATCTTGTTCCTGATCAGTCTTACAAGTTAGCTACCAAATGTTATTTACATAATGGTTGTGATGGGTATACAATGTTAAAGAACTCTCCCATTATTGTATGTTTGTATTTTATCCTGTAGTAATGGTATTTTATATTTAACTTTAACTTTAACTTTTTGTATTTAGGTAAATGATGAAGAATGTCCTGAACTAGGATTAGCTATCCAAAATCATTTTTCTGCTATACAAATGCGGCAAGGTAAATCACGCCGATTATCCAAACACAGGCAAAGCTTAGTCACACTTTCTCGAAGGTTAGTTTACTTGTGTTTCAGGTTTTTATGTGTTTATAAATATATATATTTATGTGCTAACATTTTATTAATTAAATGAACTGTAAATAGACATAGTTTGGTGAAGTCAATGGAAGGAAATGAATGGGAAGGTGGTCCGTCGCCACTTAGAAGAGGTTCCCTAACATCGCCAAGCTTATCCATCCATCATCATGGTTATTCACATTCTCCATCACCACCATCTACTCATCATTTTCACCATCATCATCACAAAATAAATAGACGTGCTAGCTTTGATGATCTAGAACAGCAAACTTGTCAACTATCACCTAAAGTTCAAAATAGAATTGTTAAACTTACTCCACAGCTTAGGCAAGAGATGTTAATTGATCGGCAACGTTTGGAAGATGAATCTGTTATACAGGAGGTTGACGAATTAAACAATTCTCCTCAAGGTAGTTTTGACCACTCATAAACTCTACAAACAGTCCCAGTAGTATTTATATTTTTAAATTATTTCTTGTTCCTTTTCAATCCAAATCATTAAGTAGGCAATTTACCATTTCCATATTATTAATCCATTCTACGCTATTCTATTATTGTTTTTAATTTTTATTTCTGACCGATGATTCATCAACCATCTAATCAAAACTATTTTCAATTGAATTAATACATTGTAAAACAATATAAAATTAAACCAGTTGGTAATTTGTGAACATTAAACTTAACATGTCCGGCCTTAAACAATGTCCATTTATTACATACAATATTTTGGAAATATTCTAGTCACGAAGACTTATAATAATTGTATTTTTTATAATATTATAGTTTATTCATATTTAATGGAATTACTTCTTTTTATTAAAATTTAAAATTTATGTAATTATTGTTATTAAATATTTTTATTTTACATTGTTTTTAACGTTACATTAAAATTGTTGACTAGGTATTAATTTATTATGTTATTACTTATTATTACTATTATTAAAATTATTGTTGAGAGTTTGTTCATTATTTTTCAAACTTTTGTTTTAATAAAAGTGTATTTAATTGCTCATAAAAATAATTTCTTATATATATTTGCAGGGTTGAGAATAGTTGAATTCATCAACCTAATATATATTTACATAAATGTTTTTGCTAAGAAAATCGAATTATTTAAAAAAATTCTGTTTATTGAAGGTTATTACTTTTTAAATTTCGATGTTAATTTCTAGATTTTATTATAATAGCAGTGAACATGAAGAAAATATAAAACAAACTCTAAATATTGAATATTTGTATTTAATTTAAGAGATAGCGGACGTGTTTGTGGTGCCGTATGAATTAAATTTTGAAAGGAATAGGGGTTTCTAGCTAAATTTAACAAGTTGACTGCCACGGTATTTTTATAGAGCTATCCTCATACGCCATGAGTACCAAATATGGTACTCACTCGGTTTGGCTCGTAGGGTTTTAGGTTTTCTGGATTATTGAGTACCAATAATGGTACTCAGTCACGAAATCACGAAAAAAACTATTAGTTATCAAGGTCAAACGGTTATCACGTGTCAAATGACGTGTGAGTACCAGGATTGGTACTCATAGCGTATGAGGATGGCTCTATAAAAATACTGTGGCCCGGGAGACAAATCATGTGAGTACCAGATAGGATACTCACGGCAGTCAACTTGTTAAACCTTGGCTTGCAAATACATGCATATATTTTGTGCTAAATAATCACACTAAAAATGTCCCTATTTACCCAAATATATGGCTATATGCCTATATCTATATTATATAAATGTAAAAATGAGAATCTTTGATTCCAATGATCTTGAGAATCACTTATCCAATAACCATTGGGTTTTTTGTAAATGATAATATATAGTTTATTATGGAGAATGTTTACGTATAGGGAGATAAAATAGGAATAAACCTGTCGTACCATCTGTGCAGTAAAATTAAATTAAATACACATTAATGTCTCGTATTTTTTTTTAAATTTTAATCCGATCAAAGTCGGGTTTTACAGCTATTAAACGGCTTGTAAGTTACAACTAGTTCGACTTGTAAGAGTATATAATATAATAGAAGCCACTTGTAACTCAAACTATTTTAGAAGGTTGAGACAATAGATTAAATCAGTTGTTTTAGGTTTCAATAAAATTAATATATTTTATTTGATTTCTCGATATTTAGGGAGTGTATATAGCTTATTTTTTCAACCCATATTGGTAACTGAAAAATGGCTCACACACTAATTTTGATTAGCTTGTGAAGAAAGAATATTTTTTTATTTATTTATAAATGGTTGTTATTGCAGGTTACATATAATTATATTCTATTTTTTTTCCTCAGCTTGTCGACCCATTAAGAGCCATCGCTGCCATCAATAAACCTCTCCATTTCATTATTTCATATGCATCGTCAAAAGACAAGTCTTTTTTTATATTTTTGATATCTTGAGCTACAACATCACCCATTGGGTACCTACTTAGTCTTCCTAATGAACGTTTTTGTTTATTTTGTTAGCTAAAACTTCTTTCATTACTTGCGTACATCCATTCTCTAAACGATTCTAGACGTTTGCTTTTATACATAATACTATAATATCAAAATACAAATAGTAAGTATAATTATGGCGTATACATTTTTTACAAATATATTTATATAAAAAAAAAAAAACAATTCTTCGGCACGGGTAATACAGCTAGTAATATACATATAAACTGTTTTACATACCTACCGCGTAAACAGATCATATTGTGTTGCCCGGCGCATTGTATAGGCAAAATAGGTACATTATCAACTGAATTGTTCAATATTGTCAATAGTTAGGTACATTATAGCTCCAGTGGTCCGCGGACCCCTAGTCCCTAGGATAACAAACATTTTTACTATAGGTACTCTAACGTTTCTAAGGCAGTGGTTCTCAACCCTTTTACATTCGTGTACCACCTATACAGTTTGAAAAATTGTCATGTGCCACTTGACTAAATAACGTTTTTTTTTTTTTTTTTGCTTATCAAAAATGTATACGTTATATTACATGTATGGAATTTTATTTTATTAGGAACTAGAAAATTATGATATAATATAAGCATTTAATGCATAAAAAGAAAATTAAATATGCACAATTATTATTTATATTATTATCGATATCAAATAAACTAAATAATATGTCATGTGAATAATGATCGAATCCATTTTTTTTATAAAGGGAGATTTGCTTAGAGCACCACCTATGAGTTTTTCACGTACCACTGGTTGAGAGACGAGTTAAGTGTATGAACAATGATTAAGTTAAAAAAAAATTTACACAAAATTAAAGTAAGTACTAAACTGAATATCATATCCATTAATTGTATGGTTTATTTAAAATCACGATTAAGGACTATACTCTTTTGTCATAGAGACTTGATATTTATAATAATTTAAAAACTACTCATTAAAAAATTATATTTAGATGAATCAAAATTTTCAAAAAAATTATTCATCTTACTGTAATTTAAAAATATTATTCCTGGACACTTGAAACTTTTAAGTAGGTACCAATATATTATATTCTATTAAAATTAATACAACCTATGCTGTATACTCAGAACTTGTATTTAGTATTATTTTGTTTTTAATTATGTTACACTAATAAAGTAAGAAGTGTCATAAGTCACAATATAGTAAATATAATCACCCAACATCCAACCAATCATGCACCCAGACACTAAACAACCCACCCACCAAATGTTGTATGTGCTGAAGCCTGAAGACATGGACCCTAGCCCCTAAGATAGCCACCACTGCCTTAATGTGTAGATCACTTGGGTCGTTGTAGGTCGTTCTTCACATTTATTGTTCTTATTTGTTCAATTCAATTTTGGGTTTTTAGGGCCGATTTTCGGTTAGCTACGGACTACGGCTACCGTATGAGAAGTCAGTATTGTTACAAAACAATAAGCAGTAGCCAGTAACCGCAGTTAGAGTTGTCTATCAGTTACCATTAAAAATATAAACCTACTTATGTATAATATTATAATACATTAATACCTTAATACTATACTATATAATTGTATTATTTATTTATTTACTATTTTTAGATTTCGTACTGTAAATATTAAAAAAAAACAGTATACTATTATAAGTACTTTGACGGAAGATTCCCGCGGGAGCGGAATTTTTTTTTGTCCAAGTCAAATAATAATAAAATATATAAACCTCAAAAATATTACCCTCCATAATTTTTGTAATATAGGTGATTTTACTCAAAGATAACTCAAAAATCATAAAAAACTACAATTATTAAAATTACCAATATCTATAACTGATGATTTATGGGCCTATGAAAAAAAATATCACTTACATAAGCATATAGGACTTTCCGCTCTGCAGGGCCCCATACATTTATTGTGTCCGGGGCTTCATGAATCCTAGTTGTGGCACTAGGTGTACCAGTACCTATGTATTATGTATACACTTTTACATAATAACTATAATAACTGTGTACGATAATATTATACTGTTACAGACTACAGTGTTAACTGCCTATTGTAGTATTGTTACGAACCGGATGAATCGGGCCCGAAATAATAATAATTTAAACATTTCCGAAATTTAACGCACACACGATATTATGCGAGCTCTGCAGTATCAATACTTCTGTAGCCTCTAGGACATATATTACAGTGGCGTGTCGAAGGTATTTTTTGGATCCTTCAAAATTGTTGGTTGGTGGGTGGTCCCACTGCCACAAAATACCAAAGGTGGGCATTAACTGGTTAAAAAGTTAATTTTTTTTTAACTTTTTAACTTAACTAGTTGATAATTTTTGTTTTTAACTTATTAACTTATTCAGTTTTAAATTTTAAATTTTTACTGTTGTAACTGTATGCATGAAATAAATACTCCGTTTAAAAGCTGGGATGGATGTACTTTGCTATGTCACATCTGTTTAAGTCAAAACTATTATCTAGGAAAAATAAAGAGAAACTATATACTACGTACCTCAGACCAGTTGTGACTTATGCATGCTGTACTTGGGCTACAACAGCAGGAGATGAGAATAAACTTAATATATTTGAAAGGAAGGTGTTAAGAAAAATCTATGGTCCCGTATATAATCCTGATACCCAAGTGTGGGAGAGAAGGTCAAACGAACAAATACAACAATTATATGGAAAAGGAAATATAGTACATGTATCATTGTTCCACACGTTAATAGTTATTTTATTTTAAGTCATTCGCGTAATCAACTAGGCATCCCTACTGATTTCGTTGACTTTTTTACGATTTTGTTTAATTCCCTTCGAATTATATACTTATAATAATCTAAGGTTTTACACAGTGTTAAATACCTTGTCTAACAAAACACTATGGTTGTTTTAGACTTAAAAAGCTTGTACCCTTCAAAAAACTTAACTTTTTTTAACTGAGATAAGTTCATTTTATTTCTATATCTTAACTTTAAACATATCTAGTTAAATTTTTTTTCTTTGTTAAGTGCAATTATTTAATGATTAACTTAACTTTCCACCGTTAATTATTTTCTGTAACTTGCCCACCATTGCAAAATACATAGCCACCTAGGCGACGACTAGGTATGTATATCGTAGAAATATCATATCAGATTATACAAATCGTTACAAATGTACGCACATTTTATAAATTGTTTATTAAAACTTTTTTGCTGAGTTGAAAATGCCGTTATAAACATCAAGGGCACCGTGGATACCTTGTATACATTTTTGCTATACTCATAAAAAATGAGTTCAACACGCCACTGGTATATAATATGTATAATATTATAAAATAGCATATGCATTATTGCATATATAAGTATGCGCGTCGGGTTTCCGTTATTCAGCTGCAGCATATTATACACATTGTTTGAGGTTGTCAACGTCCGCACATGTATTAAACACGAAACAATGAGGAGAGAGAGAAAAAAATTCTGTCATATTATGCAGCAACTCAGCATAATTAAATTTGTTCCTGTCAGCGTGAGGTCATACATGCAAACGAGCAGTTTAGAGCCACTTCCGCCGTGACAAAGACACAAAGTCAATCAAAATAAAAAATAAAATAAATATTTGAAACGAAATTTTAGTCATCGTGTTATGGTTTTCAAGTCAAAAATAACAACCACAATATTGCTTGTTTTCATTCTAAACTTTTTCAAAATTTGATAAAATACTGGGGCCACATTTTCAATACGGCAGATCTACATTTTGGTTAACTACAGTCCACATTATAGAATCGACGTGTTATTAGTTTTTTTTATTAAAAATATGCAATATACAATAATATAAAAATATACAATATTATGGAACAACATTATATACGTCATAATGGAACAAAATTAATGATTTCAATAGCAAAATATTTAACACATATTTTAAATAAATTCAACATTCACTACGTCAGGGTAATTAATTAAATTGATAAAAAGGTAAAACAATATAAAACAAAGGATAATACAAAGAATACACATAGGGTGAACACTGCTGCAGGATAAACATAATAATTATGAGAAACAAAAATTTTTCTTCAGTCAAACCTTAACTAATAATTGCTGGTCGTCCCGAAGAGACAGGCCAGCTCAAAGCTATTTCGTATCCTTGGACGGTACTACGCTGCACCAGCAACATAACATCCTACCGACTTTAAGGAGTCTTCTCCCTAATGCCGATAGGGTCGGCCTACGACGTCGAACAGCTGTTTTTGCTTCTGGCCGATCATCTTCAACATTAATTTCGTCGATCACAATAATATCGTCATTGGTTTGTCGTAGACAAATCACTGCAGGCGGCACTGCATTTTGGATATCCAGAATTACAATATCTGCAGTCTGCACACAGTCCGTGGACGTCTGTTGTAAGTCCGATACGAGTTCTACAGTGGTCGGCTGCCGGAAAACTGCCGTACTATGGTCCGTTATCGCAACGTTTCCAAAAGGGCTTTCTCCGATTACATCTGGAGTGATACGTCGAGGAAAATGCACAAGTATGACGTCATGGTTCAACGATCTGCGCATGGCCGCCGCACGCAGAGCTTTGGCCAGTACTTCTGACAACCCGAGTGTTGCAAACTTCGCGTTATGATTAAGTCTCTTTGCTACTCGCAGGTGCAGAACTGGTTGTCTTTTTGACTTTACGAGATCACTCTGTAAACAGTCCGTGGACAGCTGTTGTATTACTTTAGCGTCTTCACCTCTCAACTTCCAGATGTCTGTATTATTAGATTCCGTCACGCTCATTTGTCTTGGCGTCATGTTCGAATTCCTGAGCATAGCCGCAGAATGTACAGTGTTAGCCACCAGGTCTAGAAATTCGAACTGATCCGTCGTTAACTTAAAGATATTTTGTGATTCTTCATCAGTCTCAACAATATTGTACGAACCCGAAGTCGCAGTTGTGTTATTTGGTAGACGATCCATTATTATGTTGAAAATAGTCAGCTTTACACAATAACACGAGAGAGTCAAATGACGATTTATCTGAAATTAAACTGTTTAGACAATATTAAATAACATATTATTATCGAATTGCTTGGCAACAAAATATAATGTAATAAACGGCCAAAACGACTCTATGTAATGTTTTTGAAGTGTCTATGGGTACTGCAGCTTATGATTACAATAATTATGAATAATCATAATATAGTGAAAATACAATAATATTATAATATTAAAATTTAATTATATTATATTATATTTGAAAGAAATTTAACAATGCACTTTGAATAATTGTGTAGGCATAATAAATGTTACATTAAAATTTAAAAAATTCAAAAAATTCCATTAATTGGATTATTAATTAGAATATAGGTACCACAGTTTCCAACTTCTACTACAACATTACGTTATATTATGTTTTTAATTATAAAAATGCCTAAAAATAAAACGTAAATCCCAAAATAATATGAAATTATTAAAACAAACTTACGCTGAAACATTGACTCTCCCGGTGAAACCTAGCTAGAGTGCATCATCAACAATGCAAACAACCAGTACGCGTGACGCCACCGAAGAAACAGCTGCTATCTTCATCTCATTCCGAACTATAACTTGAAAGTATCGAAATATTTTATGAAAATTACCTGAACATAACGAAATGTGCGAATTCGTGTTAAAACTTACATAATAATATATACGGCTCAACGAACTATCTGACCATATTGATGGCTTATTATTTTTTTTTTCACTAAAATTATTAGAATTGTTAATCGTCGCAGACGAATGTCGACAATTGGCGATTGCCATAGATGATATAAAATATATTTTTTAATATGATAAATCCATAGAACTTCTACACTCAGCACATAATTTACATAATTTACAAAATAATTTTCTCATGACTATAAATAACGCAAAAAGAGTTAAAATAGTTTGAAAATTTTACCATGTATGGAAAATTCAAGTATAAATATTTTTTACTTTTTTTGTTACAGGTGGAAAAATGTATGTAAGTTCTTCTATTTAACTTACCCTACCAATAATTATAATATCACTATATAAAATAATTAAAAGTGATAATTTGAAGACAATTTCTTAAAACCCTAGAATATTTTTTTAATTTAGTGTCTAAACCATATAGTTTAGCACCCAAGCAAATTTTTCAATTTTTTTTTTGAAAATCTATGATTTGCAACCAGTTATAAGATTTATGATGCAAAAATTAATTCATGGAAATCATTAGTTGTTATCGCATAACTTTACGAAGTTCACGATTTTCGGTGTTTTACGCACCCGTACAACGCTTACAGTTTACCTAGCTTAAGTAGGTATAACAAATAACAATTTTTTTAACCTAGTTAAATCAACGTCTTCAGAATGATGGTGCAAAAATAATTCATAACAAGTTTTACATAACAAGTCGAGGGATGTTTTTAATTATAATTGTCCGAGCGAGTACAGCGTGCAAGTGAATACGCCGGGTAGGTATTTATGAGATATCCAAAAATTTCAATTAGCTATAACTTTAAAATAGACTTCACTATCATTTTCAATTAAAAACTAATGATTTTCGGCAATTAATTTTTGCAATATCGTTCTCAATTCGTTGTAACTTCATGGGTCTAGAATGAAAAGGTTCTAAATCTTTTTTATGAAATTGTCCAGGGAGCAATTCTAAGGTTTGAGTTAAAATATTTTATTCCTTGAAATCATTTTGTTTAAATTAAAGTTCTAAGGCATGTAGCAACTTGTATAGTTTAATTCACATCATTTTAATAATTAATAATAATTTGCTGTATTGGTTGGTATTAAAATTAATAAAATTAAAATTATAAATTGTTTCTACAATTAGAACCTATTTATCCTAAAATAAAAAAAAAATACATTCAATTAGAACTTTTTCATTCTTAACTGTTATTTGTATTATTGTTAGTTGAATCATTTTCAGAATAATGCTTTCTCATTGCTACCAACCTTCTAACACAAAACGATGTAATAATAATATTATGAAACATCGAAATCTGTATATCGATCGTAAAATTCTGTGGAATAGGTATGAATAAAATAAATGCAATTAATAATTACTAATAATTATTCGGTACTGCTTAGTATAATATTTATTAATTTATACTATTTTATAGATTGTACCTAATGATTGTATTATTTACTTATAGAAGTAAGTCTGAAGAGAAAATGTAGTACATTTTGATCTTTAGTTGTATCTAATATTACAATTTCATTGACCCTTTCACAAAAAATGAAACCAAAAATAATAATCCTTTAAAATTATGTACTTATTCATATTTTTAATTATTCACTCGGTTACTAGTAAATGTTTTGAACTTAAAAAAAAAATGCATTTGTGTGAAACTGTGAAAGACTAAAATTGCGTATAAAGCATCGGCCAAAGCAACAACATACATTTGTATTGCTAAAATATCTAGTATATTTTAGTTTAAGATTATGGTAGACAATAGGTAACAAAATAAATAAGATAAAAACAATTTGAAACATAATTTATATAATTGCACTTTACCACAAACAATAAAATAACTACAGCGCTGTAAATAAAAATGTTTAACCCTCAATTATTGAAACCATAAAATTACAACATAATTATTCAGTTGTTAGGTTAGGTTAGGAAACAAAATTTCAGAAAGTGAATCTTGATTAAAGCGTAAATAACAAATTTGAAAAAATGGTATTTGGCTAAAGTTATATAGGTAGTTTTGACACCTTATTAAAGTCTTTAAACTTATTTAGAGACATCTGTAAGACCATAAATGTTTTTTTGAGTTGACTTTTACTAAAGATCTAACAAATGACAATGGTGACCAAATATCTATTTTTTTTTATATGTTTCTCATTCTGTGAATATGCATTATCCACTTCTTGGATACACAAATGGCCTGGAACTGAATACTTCATTGTAACTGATTTTGTTTTGGGATTTTTCAACATAAACCCAATAATGGCCGTTGACATTATCTTATTTCAGTTTTGTGGCACACAGCTATCGGACCATGTAACAATATTTAGTATATCCAAATTATTATCAACAATTTGTTGTAATATGTTAATAAACGCACTTGCAAGGTCATTACCCGATCTACCAACAATTGTTTCATTTCAAATAGCATAAAATATAGTATTGGAAGTAGACAAATGAGCTGTGAGGTTATAAAAATTTAATTTTTTTTTATAAAAGGCTGGGCCGACATTTGTTTTTGGAATTGTGATTACATTTTGAAAGTTAAAACAAACAACTATATTTTCTTGATCACATCTATTTTTGTCTTCATCTCCATAAAGTCTCCATTTTGTCTTTCCATTTTCATAGTATCTTTTTTAAGTATATGTTCTTCATACTGACATTGTTTATAACTTGATAATTTAAATTCCTCACATGTAGCACATAAATCATTTTTAGGAAGGAAAAATCCATAGTTGAAATTAAAATTAAATAATGATCTATTCAGGTGAGCTTTTACCGGCGTTCTAGGGTTCTAATCTATAAAGCATTTATTTGTATATAGATTGTACATTTTTGATAGGTATGTGCAACTCAGAATCTAAATATTGCTTTTTTTGTATTATGTCGGCAATAATGTGATTCAACAGTAGAGAAACTAGATATATGGTCTATGGCATATTGTTTGTCCTCTGCTTTAATATGACTAGTTGTATTCTTGTCTCGCTTTTCATCAGGCGGAGTTAATGATAGTGGGTTCATTGATGAATGACAATTATAAATAACCTTTTGGCTAATATATAATGTGTTTAAGAAAAATTTTTTGCAGACTCTAATCAATAATGTATCAGTTTTGTAGAAATTATACTGGTAAAATTTTGTCCTTTGATTTATTTTTACTTTTTGAAGTAATTAAGGATTTATAATTAAGTATAAATAAAATTTTATCATTTCTGCTGACACTGTAGTAGATACATGTTCAAGTCCTTTTTCAGTCAAATCATTATAGATTGATTGTTTCCAATTTTTGGGATTTCTTTGTTTTTTTCTGGTAAACTTATTATCTATTTTGATTGGTGCCTTTTCTGATGGTGATTCTTCACAAGATGATTATTCAACTAATCTAAAACATGACAAATTATTTTAATTTTGTGATTAAATTACATTTTGGTGTATTTACTATCTTATATTATAATTACTAAAAGACATAGATTTTTAAATGTAATTTGGGTATTCTTAGGTATAGCATGCACTCTGTGCAACATGTTTGCATTTATGCAATACACTTTAAGTCTATTTCCATAAGGTTAATATAAAAATTAATAAAATAGTAAAACATAGTACAATATTATAACATAATATACAAAAATAAATTGTTCAGTGTAAATTAGTATTATATATTTAGTACATTGAATGTATAAACATAAAACATTAAGGTATTTCTAGTTCCTAATCCGTTATTATTTTGTTATTAATACATGCAGACTTTCAATTATTATATATTTATCTGATACTAATATTAAGAAATGTTTTTATTTTGTGTATCTCATATTGTCATTATCATATTGAAGTATACTTCTTATAAAAACATAACAAAAAACACATAATACATGATTTTATAGCAAAAATTATAGCTAGGCACTGGTAGAATTATTTTAGCTTAAATTGGAACTATATTTAATTAAAATAAATTATTACTGTAGTGTAACATTACCTTGACATGTTTGTTGAATTTTCATCAATTAAACCATACGAGATGTGAGTATGTACTTTCTGAGGTGACTTTTAGAGTCCATCCAATCTTGTAACTCATTAATACTTGAAATATCATTTTGTGAATCTCTAGAGTCTTGAAGTAAACTAGGAATAAAAAAACAAAACAATTTTTAAGCATAGTTTAACTATATAAAGGTGCTCTGCTGTACAGTAGTTTACACGTGGGTCACGGTATAATCGATGGTATTAAATTTGAATTCAATGATATAATATCATTGTATAAGAAAAACGATTCTGAGCAGAGACGGTATGCCAGTCTAGGTTTAAGACATATATTATATACATAACTATGGTATTTTAAAAAATATTGACCTATAATAGGTACCTATAATAAATTAAAAATTAATCATATCACAATATCCAATAAGTACTGATAATGCGTTATACATCAACAAAAAACCGTGATACTATCATAGATACATAATAGTACACTTTAGAAGTTTCAAGTAGGTACCCACGAATAATATTATGCAATCACAACAAAATAACTAAATGCTAGGTTTTTTAATATGGAATTTCATCCAAAAATGAACTTAAAATGACTATAAAAATAAACTGTGCTTGTGTATTTTTAATATTTTTCAACTGCTATTGTAACGATATATCAGGAGCATTGTATTAAAATTTTACACTTTTTGACCCAACAGATAAAACTTCATTGATATTCATAGAAAAAAAATGTAAAAAAAATTGAAAACTGACAATGCCCATAAACAGCTCAAAAAGTGTCAAGATATTTTGAACATTTTATCAAGTATAAGAATTGATAATATAAACATTCAGTGAAATTGTCATGTATCTACAGTTATTCGTTTTTCAAGTATAACAAAATAAAAAAATTGTTACATGAGAAATCGAGTGAATAACACATTTTGTAAAAATATGAATTTAAAATGCTCATAAAAATTTAATTTCAACTTCCGGTAGCCATTTTTTTTTTTTATAAAAGTAGAGAATCTTATAGGGAATCTTTAATTACATTGAAAAATCTTAGATTTAAAAAGAAAAATTTTTATGAATTCTTAACTCAAAAGAATTTGCTAATTTTTGTGATTTTTCCATATTTTGTCAATTTTTGAACTTTAAATGCTTATGAAAAAAATCTGTGACAAACGATTTTTAATATTTTTCATCTGTCCTTGAAACAATATAGTAGGAGCCTTGTATTAAATTTTCAAGTATTTTTACTCAACAAATAAAGTTTTATTGACATTCATAGAAAAAAAACTAATAAAATGGGAAACTGCAAATGTCCGTAAACAGTTAAAAACATATTAATTTTTTTAAATTTTATCATGTATAGAAAATGCAAATATAAACAAGCAGTGAAAATTTCATGTATATACGTTCATTTGTTTTAGAGTTACACCAAAAACCAAAATTTTGGGTAAAAAATCCTGTTTTTCCTTAATTTTTATGTTGTTTTTTCCGGCACATAACTATTGGGAGTTTTAAAATTTGACCTCCCGAATGCACCAACTAGATTCAGTTTTCCATCGAACAAGACACTGTTGAAGAAAATCGAAGCAGTTTTACGGCCTAAAACCGTGATGACAGACACAAAAATGAATAAATAATAAAAAATAAAAAAACACACATCAATGTAAAATCAATACATTCATCGTTCCAGAAATATTGAAATGTATACTGCCGTTAAAATGATGACAAAATATACCAATGTTGATGAGACTTATTATAAATAATATGAGGCAAGTAAACAATTGTGTGTAAAATGACTTGTCAAAAAGGAAATAATGGAAATAATTGGACATGTACATTTTCAAAATTGTTTAGAGCAAAGTTGAAAACAGATACGTGATCTTCAAATAAATGAAAATATTAAGAGAACGTAACACGGGCATTTGTTTTTTCTGTCTTACAAGAGAGTAACATAGGAAATTTAAGCTCAGCATAAAACATGCTTTTCACAGCTTAAACACAGCTTTTCTAGTTTAAAAATTAGAATGAATCGACCTATTATGAAACATGATTTTTAGTTATGAGCTTTTTTAATTAACGCTATATTTATACGTACAAATGACTGTGAAACTAATTAAACTAACTTACTAATTAAATGTACATAATTTAATGACATTCCTGTGTTTAGTAAAATTATAGCAGGTCTCAGAAGTATACACTATTATTTCACCCACCTACCCACCCAACTTTCAAGGCAGTTATTAAACTGAACTAGAAATCAAAATTGAAAAAGGTTTTAATTTGTAAAATATTTTGATAATTATATTGCAACAAATATTTCATCAGTCATTACTATAATATTGTTATTTCATAAATAAAAATAAGTGTATTAACTTACAGGCAAAGGTTTTAATTGAGAAAATATTTGTTCACAATAATTATTTTCAAGCTTGGCTCTTTGATCTATTTCATGTTTTAGTGCCATTTTGGTTAAGGGGCCTGCACGCGACCTGTTTTTTTGCTCAAAAACATGCCTTACAGGAAAAACTCTCACGCCTCGTAGATTGGTCCGATTTCCGTAATTTTTTTTTTGTTAGATAGAGGAAGACTTCTTACAGGGCGCATTGGACTTGGATTTTCAACATTATTTTTCTAAGTCTTATGTTACAAGTTTGAATTTATTCAATTTTTACAACTTTTTAGTTTTTGTATTTTTTTTTGTTTTTAGCGACGTAATCAAAAATCGAAGTCCAATGCGCCCTGTAAAAAATATTCCTCTATCTAACAAAAAAAAAATTACGGAAATCGGACCAATCTACGAGGTGTGAGAGTTTTTCCTGTAAACTGTGTTTTGACCGATATAATACACCCTATCAACCCCCCCTAAATAGGTATTGGGTAGTAGATTAGTGGAAAAGTCTTATAATTGAGGTGGCAACTAAAATATAAAATTTAATTTTCAAATTTTATAGAATTGCGGAAAATTTGAAAAATCGCGAGCAGGCCCCTTAACTTTAATTTGTTAAGTAAGAATGGAGATTCTTGGCATGGTTTATTACTATCATTTCCAGTACCGGTCACTGAAAAGAAAAAATATAGAATTATTATGCAACTCAAATTTAAGAACTATATTTTAATTACAGCTTAAAGTATAGGTAAATAACTTGTATATACCCTCAATAAGAATTTTTTTGAGAAATGTTTAAGTTTATTTGATAATTCTCCTTTTTCTGTTTCTAGTAAATCAATATCTGCTTGCAAATGGTCCTTCGTTTCTTCTTATTCTTTTGACTTTCTTTTTACTTGCTGTTGTGTTTCATCCAATTAATATAAAACAAACATTTTCTAATAAATAATATATTTTTAACTATTTTTCCATATAATAAATATTTTAATTTATAGTTAACCTTGAAGTCAAGCATTTCTGGTATTGATGACCGAACTTCATCTTTTTATGCAGATTCTCTCATTAATTGAGTTTGTAGATCTTGATTTTGTTCACTTAGTTCATTAACCAGACCTTTAAATTTTACAAAAACCAAATTCAGATCAGCTAAACTTTCCAATGCTTGTCCTTTTCCTTTGACACACTTTAAAATAAATATGACTTAGGTATGAATAAAAATTAAATGTTTGCTATTAATACTATTTAAAACCTCTCTAATATTAGCATTTGCCATATCTAATTCTTTACGTAATTGCATTTCCAACTCGGTACTATCTTCTTGGAGTCGATCATTAATATCTTGTATCGCTTCTAGATCAGTCACTGCTTTCTCTAATTCTACCACTTTATCTTCCAAATTCAATTTTTGTTAACCCAGAAGCCCTACTAATTCCTCTGCTCCTAAAGCTGCATCAACCTAAAATATAATAATATATTAATACTTGGAAACTATCTATTTAAAAATGAATATAAAACCTGTTCATGCAAATCATTAACTTTAGATGTTAGTTCTTCATTAGACTTTTGTAAATTTCTCTTTGTAAGTTTTGTGTTTGATGTTTCTCGTGGGCGGATAAGTCTCGTAATCTAAAGTTTCAATAAGTGTCAACTAAATAGGAATCAATCAATTTTAAACAACAACAATAATATAAAAGCATCTTATACCTGAAAAGTGTATCTCTAAGACGTAAATTTTGTTGTTCAAGTTGCTTAACTTTGAAAGAATTGGCACCATCTCCCCCCTCTTCACATACATTTCCTTTCTCAAACACAGCCTTTAAGAGTTCTAAATCTACTGTTAATTTCTCAATACACTCTTTTGCTTGGTCTAATTCTAGTTGAAGTGTTTCTGCTTTCACTTCAGCCATTTCTTAAGTCTCCGCCATTTCATTATACTCGTCTTTTTCTTCTAATGCATCTTGTTTCTCCATTTTAACTTTTTCTAATTCTTTTTTTAATGCTCAATGAGATTCAATAATTTTAATTTTAAATTCTGCAGCTTGATCCAGTTGCAATTTCATCATATCAATATCATTTCAGGCAGTACAAAAATGCATTTAAAGAATTTTAATATTTAATGCTTACCCCGATGCGGCGATTCAAAAACAGATTTTTGAGATACAGTAGGTGACATGGAATGCAAAAGAATCAGTATGTACCGAGCTACAAAATAAAAAAATTATATTTATAAACCGATATCAACATTTTTATGAAATTCTACATTTATACAATATACTTTACATGTATTTCCAAAGCCTTAGTCTTTAAAAATTTTAGTCAGTTTTGATATTTGATCCCATCCAAAACAAGTATTGCACAAGATGAGAGATCAAATACAGATCCAATTGTCATAACAATCAGATCAATAGTGACGAGTTCTAAAATATACTGAAGTCCAAACTAGTTATGTGTTTCTTTGCAATTTAAATATGTTGAGGCCCTTTGTGTTATTGAAATTGAGGTTGTTTCTCAGCAAAATTATATTGCCTAAAAAATTAAAACTTTGTTAAAAATATGTCAGTGCACCATTTGTTTCTCTCTTTGAATAACGAGCAACATGCAAGTGTGAGTATAGTAGATCCAGTTTTGTACTGTTAGCTTTAATATTAGAGTTATATGACATAATATTATAATCAAACTTAAAAGCAAATATATTTTTCAAGGTACCTTATAGAGAAGCACTAAGCATTAATTTGTATTTTTATTTTTAAAACAAGTTATGAATATTTTAAAATTGTAAGATATAATTATTTATTTATTAATTTATTTTGACTAAATGGACTGAGCCCTTTCGATATACAAATTTATGTCCACGCACACAATTAGATATTATACAATGTGTCCCGTGAACAGGTGGGTACGTTAGTTAGTAAAATAGCTTTAAAATAAAAACCTATAAACAATATTCTCACCTTTAAGTTTCATAACTCGCTCTAATATGGTATGTATATAATTATCTTCAAGAATGTCAACGTCTGAAAATTGTCAACACATTGGCTCAACTCAATAGTTTCTTGTATGTGGTACATCATATATTTCAGATTTTACCTCTTAGATGATTTACTAGTCGTGCTCAGCGTGGTACCAGTGTTGCTGTAAATTATTAAAATGTATTTTATATTGTTTATTTTACTCCTCCAAACAGACAGGAGGTTTGGATTATGTTTTGTGACAGCCTCTGGCCATAATAATATCTACTATATACTGATTGTGAAATGATTACCGCAGATTCTGCTCCAGATAGATATTGGGTAAACATTTGATTTGAAAATTTATTTCCTTCTATTTTCATTTTTTGTAAATCTATATTTGTGAACAAATTAGACTGGTGCCAGTCAGTATTATTAAGAAATATAATCAGTACAACTAGAAAATAATACTTACAAATGAAAATTAAGGTAATGTGGCGAGGCGATACTTTGGATGTCTTACTAAAAAGAATACACTTATGCATGGCAACTTTTTACTAAAACGTATGAATACAACACTGTACGAATGTATAGTAGTCTGTATTTACTATTTCTGTTCAAATTTCAAATACCTAATCCAATGATTCAAATGATTCAAATGATTCAATTTAAGTCGGCGAACAATAAAATTATCTTAGAATTCTTAGATCATAAACAATGGATGGAGCTTTTTATCAAAATTAATTTAATCGCTATGTGTGTATTTTTCATATACCGAGCTGTGTCCAACATAACCCCCCACTACCCATTTAATTTCAAGGTACAACGAGTTATTGCGCATGCGTTGCGCCTATGCTGCTTTACATTCCATCCCCACCACCCATTTGATTTCAAGGTACGAGTTATTACGCATGCGTTTCGCCAACAATCACTATAAAATAACTAATAAGTGGGGGGTTATGTTGGACACAGCAAATGATCTAAGACTAAAGTAGCTCACTAGCTCCATCAAATCATTTCAAATATTGAAAATCGAGTGTTATACGTCACCCGGTATAACTCTTCTTACATTTTAATCAGCCATAAATAAACTACTTGAATTTGATTTACACTTACTGAGTTGCAATCTAAGAAAGTAAAAAATAAAAAACCATTCAACTTGTCTAAATTATATTCAAATATGTTATTAATTTTTTTTTATGTGGTCTGGTTCTCAAATATCTGATTTCAGCATTCTTTTAGGGAATTGTGGATCAATAATTTCGGGTAATAAAGACTTCATATAAAACCTTAAAGTATAAAATATAATATGTTAATAAAATAGATAAAATATAATATAAATATATTATAGGTAAAATAGATAAATCATGATTCACTAGTAACCGTGTATTCGTGTGAAAGATTATCTAATTACTCAGAGTGTACAAATTATTAAAAAAAAAAGGACTCACGTTTGTAGCGGTTCAGACATTTTAGAATCCCAAAATGATTGATCAAAGTATATTTCTTCTATACTGATCCATTTGGCAGTGTATATCACAAAAAAGCATTTTTTTCTTTTAGTAGCGTGTAATTGTCCCATTATTTGGTAGTAATATACGTTTTCTTTTTTCAATTTAATTTCTTGCCCTTCAACTTTGCAATATTGTAGCTAAAAATAAAATCAAAATCAAAATTACATTCACACTTCACACAACATAATGTTACGAAGGCTAAAAATCTTCAAATCTAACGATATTTAACCGTATATCTTATACAACTAAATACAAATGTACCTACTAAGTAATTGTCGACAAAATATCGCAAGAGAAATATAATCGCGAAACCAATATATTGCATGTCGTATGAGAAAAATATCTTCAGTATAAAATATAGTAGCAATTTAATTATAACATAATATTTTGGTCACGATATTTTACCGGCAATATTTTGTTGGTATATACCACTAAAATTATAATTATTAAATATAATTTAATACCTACTTACAAGTTTACTGTTCACTACTTTAATGGCATCGTTTGAATCACAAGCAGAATATGGACATTTTATTTCCGATAAATAATGTTCACCAATAAGACCATCTATAAAATAAGTTCAGCAGTCTCCCTATATTGAGGGTAATTATTCAGGTTTATATATTTATTATATTTTTAGACTTTTAATTTATATATATTATATATATTTTTAATTTGTGATTTAATATTAAAAAAATTAAAATATCAAAAATCGAGTGTTATACGTCACCCGATATAACTCTCCTCTACAACTTTTAATTAAGGTATTTTTCTCTAAAACCATTCAGTAGTTATATACTTACTAGTTATTACCATTTCAGTTTATTACATTCTGATTATTTACATTTTCTAATTTAAGAAAAAAATATAAGCAATTATATCAACAATTTTATTCAAATTATATTCTCAAAATTGAAAACAATATTAATCTTAATATGAAATCTTTTTGGAAATATATACAATCTTTAAAAAAAAACAAAATCAATATTCCTACATCAGTCTTCTTTGATGATTTATCTGCTAATAATTTAAATGATATTACAAATTTATTTTCTAAATATTTTTCTTCTGTTTATTCTAAAAGTAATGTACCTAACAATTTTGATCAAATATCCGATATTATTAGTAATGATCTTAATTTAAATTCTATATCTATATCTGAAGATGATATAATTGAGCATCGAACATCACTTAATGAAAAAACTAGTACTGGTCTTGATTGTTTACCTCCTATTTTATTAAAAAAATGTTGTTTGGTCTTTGCTAAATCTATAAATCACATATTTAATTTATCTTTGAACACAGGTATTTTTCCACTTATTTGGAAAAATCTTTTATCACTCCCATTTACAAATTTGGCGACAGAAATAATGTAAGAAATTATCGACCAATTACCAAATTCTCGATTCTTCCTAAGATGTTTGAGGCCATTATATCAAAAAAACTATCAAATTAATTAACCAATTATATTAGTCCCTCTCAACATGGATTTTTAGCTAAACATTCAATTTTTACTAATTTAATAACATACCATAATTAGTAATTACTTAATAACATCAATAAATGAAGGTTATCAAGTAGATTCTATATATACTGATTTTGAAAAAGCTTTCGATAAAGTAGACCATTTATTATTATATCATAAATTAGAGTTGTTTGGAATAGGAGGTAATTTCCTTAAATGGTTGTTCTCTTTTCTTATTGATAGAACTCAGGCTGTTAAAATATAATTTTCTATCTCGACTGATTATCCTACCTCATCAGGCGTCCCACAATGGTCTCACTTGGGGCCTTTATTATTTTTGATATTTATAAATGATTTAACATTAGTTCTCGAACCGTCTACTAAAATTCTCCTTTTTGCTGAGGATGCGAAAATATTTTGTAAAATCAAATCGGTTGATGATCAACATAGGTTACAAACCAATTTAAATAAACTTTACCTTTGGAGTGAAAAAAATCATCTTCCTCTTAATATAAATAAATTTCAAGTAATATCCTTCACTCTTAAAATTAATTCCTTTAGTTTTCAAAATAAAATCAATGATTTTCCACTTACAAATATAAACTCCATTAAAGATTTTGGAATATATTTCGAAAAAAATCTTAACTTTAAAACTAGCCATAAAGTAATGGTTAATAAATCATATAAGATGCTTGGCTTCATTAACAGAAATACGAATGATTTTAAAAATATTACTTGCCTAAAAACTCTTTATTACTCATTAGTTAGATCGGTTCTTGAATTTGGTTCACTTTTCTGGTCAAGTGACTACTCAACAAATAGTACTGATTTAGATATGTCCAATTTAAGTTTTTAAAAAGAATACCCCATATCATAGGTTATACTTTATCACATTGCTCGGTTAGACACCTTCAAGATTTTATAGGGGTTCATCATCTTGAAGTAAGACAAAATTTAGCGGACATAATATTCATTTTTGA